CCAGAGAGACACACACACCAGCTCCCAGCCTCCACAGTGAGTTCCCTGCAGCTGCTGGGAGCAGTGGGGAATTCACTGGGGGGCCAGGAGCTGGGGCGAGTACAGGAGCCATGGGGACCTCAGCTCTCAGCATTCACAAATTTCACCATCTGCGGTGGAGCCAGGAACTCATCCACTGCATGGCAAGGGCAACTGGAAGCCCTGGGAAAGGGACTGTTTTCCATAAAATGCAAAGGGAGGGGCTGCTGTTTGGAGGGATGTGATATGAGAATGGCCAGTGAGGGCAGCGAGGCCACGGGGGAGAAATCCTGCAGTCTCCCCACTGGAGGCAGCCACATCTACAAGGGAGTTGTCAGCAGGGCTGGGGCTCTGACATCTTGCCTATGACCACACTGGGCAAGTAGCTCCTCTGCCCCAAACCCATCCCCACCCTCCCAAATCTTTCCCCCCTTACAACTCTAGAAGCCAGGGGTAGCCTGGGGAGGGCAAGAAAAGGGCCCCTTGTAGCCGGGGAAGAGGTGAGAGGGCTAGAAAAGAGCCCCTGGCATTTGGGGAGTGCTGGGGAAAAAGAAAAGGCCCATGCCAGATGGGACCTCCCACACTAAAACCCTCCTCACCCCACAACTCTCACGCTTGCACAAACACCCCATCCTCAACCTCCTGCACTCCCTCTCTCCCCATCCCCAAGGCCCTTCTCCGAGTCCTGCACACTGCCATGACGTACCCAGGCAATGCTGGGTAAGTCTGCTAGTATTAGAGATGTTAAGTGGTTAACCAATTAAACGGTGGGTGGACAGAGCTGGAGCAGCCTCCTGCCCGCAGCAGGCCCTGTGGGGCTGGAACAGCCCCTATGAGTTAACCATAACCAGTAAGCCTCAATTTTTTCTTGCTTGTACATCAATCAGCAATATGAGGTTCTGAAGTCAAAACTCAGCTGGTTATTTCATGGTTGATAAATTCAAGTTGGACTAAGAACAAATCAATGGTATAAAAAAGTGTCCCTGAGAACACTTAAATGAAACTGTTCTACAGAAGTCATAGTGTTCAACATTTACATACTTTTTTGGCTTAAATAAATTATATATATGTGAAATTACAGGAGAGAGGCTGACAACATTGGAGAAAAAAATCAAAATGATAGCTGTTCCTATTTTTTCTAAGAAAATTGCATCAATAAAAAGTTAAGTAGTTTTTACAGATTTTTACAAGATCAACTTTTATAACATGAAATGAAGTATCATGAATACACAATAAAAGCTAATCACAACAACTACACACAGAACTACCAAATGCTGCGCACCCAGAAGAAAGCAGAATGATCTGAAAGTAGCAGAAATGCAAGGAGGCCATGCATATTGGTGTGAGGGTGAAAGGACTGGTATGACACACCTCACTGCAGCATTTCTGGAAGCGTCTCTCCTCCCCTTTCACTTCCCGTGACACTATCAGCAGAAACTCTGCCTGGTGGGCCCGGCCACAGACATACGGGGAACCTATACTGACAAGCTGCAATAACCAATCAGAGCAAAAAACAAAACAAAAACACCTTTGTAATGCCGGAGCATAAAACTATCATCTGAACTGTACAAACAACAGACTGGCTCCTGTGTATTCACATCTACTCAAACAGTGTAATTATTTTTAATTGTGCAAAAATGAAAGCTACAGGTTTTTTTACTCCCCAGAGCAGAATCCTATGTAATATAATTTTAAATTCTTTTAGGTGTAATTCTTCCAAGTGGTTACAAAGACAATTATGACCTGAAGGCAAGTGCCAATTTTTTTTTTATCAAAGTCTGATTGCACTAAGTCAGTAAATATTTAACTTTTCCATCCCTCCCATCCAGTAAGAGAGAAATTCTTATTACAAAGGAACAGCACTGGCAACACAATAAATATTCCCAAGGAAACATGTAAAATAAGTTAAAAGAAAAGAAAACAAGAGAGAGTGTGTTGTGTGTATTATAAGAATATGAGTCAGTTTTAAAAAGGTTAATTTTACAAAACACCAAGAAAAGAACTCTTATACTGTGGGTCCAATCTTGTTCCCATTAAATCACTGAAAAAAAAAAATAGACCCAGAAATAGAAAAAAAAAATTAATAATGCTGAAGTCCAGAACATTTTCAGTAACATTTCGTAATTACTCATTGGATGAATTATCTTCATATCTTTTGCAGTACCTGATCCATGTGAAAGCACATGCATACTATTTAAAGAGCTAGATATAAACTACTGTAGGATAAGCAGCTGCCTATTCAGATTACATACAGAAGCCCCACCCCCACCCCGACTTGCAACACGACTGGTTCCTGGGGAACTGTTGCAAGCCATGCGCCGTCAGAAATGCGGGCCGAGGATGTAAGTCGGGGTTTTTGGCCCCTTCCACACTTACAAAAATGCGGGGTGTTGGAACTCGGACAGTCACAAATCAGGGGCCTCCTGTAATTATTTCAGATTATACTAATGAGAGGTGCTCATCCAAAGTTAGGATTTAGGATGCAATTTACAGGACAATTCATATAATGATGTGAATAATTTTGAGGATAACACTTAAATTCTGACTTTGTATAGTCACTCTACCTAAGGAGGCATGGTTGAACTACATTTCAGACTATATTTATTGCTAATTTGTATGATGGACACAGCTTAAACAGAAAGAATATGGACAAAATTATTTATAAAGTTTCTCATTTTGCACTAGACAATACATTTGTTTGTGTCTTCTTGCAGAGATGATAATTAAACAGTACATAAAAACCAGGGAAATTCTTCAATTTGCTGGTTATAGGTCTGGCACATGGATCAAATCAAGCCTAGTAGGTATCCTCAGATATTTGCCCAAAACAGATATCATCGGGATCTAGGTGGCAGAGACGATCCCTACCACTTGAACTGGAAAACTGAATCATGAGAAATCATCTGTGCAAGTTTATCTAGATTTTTTTCTACCATGGTCACCAATCTCAACACCTTGCAAATGTCTAACAGTGAACACAAAGTGCCCCTCATCTTCTTGCTCTTCTTAGGGCTCATTTTGTTTTTTAAATATGACTTGTTGAGGGACGGTTGAGTTAAAGTAGGTTTTACATTTACTTAAAGGGCACTAAGATGTGTAGTCATTTGGATCTCTTCTCGGAGCTGTAGACCAGTCACCAAGAAAGCTGTTTCTTCAGCACATGCATCTCACACAGGGCTCCACTGCTGGTTGATGTAGTGGCCAGTTATGGTCCTGCAGAGCAAGGCGGCTCCTCAGGTAAATTCTTGATTACCAAGTGTCCTCAGAGAAAGGTCACACTACAACTTTTAAAATGAGTTATTGAATCTAAACTCCACTACAAAGTCATGGCTATGCGGTGCAAGTGAATCTTATTTGCTGTAAGCAGAACAAGAAAAGGAACATTCGTGGAGTTCACTTCCGTTTCTTTTCACGATTGTTTTGATTTATTAGGTGCTAACAAGGTGTTTAATACAAACAAGGACGCAGTTCAGGTTTCAAAGCAACAATCAGAGTCATACCTGTACCTGGCATTTTGATTTCCAGAACTGTTCCTACAATGTACTAATAATTTTTAGCAGATTAACTAGATAAATTGTTTTAGTGCTTATAAAAATTGCCATGTTAGAGCTCTGGTTTCCAAAGTTGTAAACACTACTCTGCTGCATTAAAAGCTTCCCCTACATTGTTCCCTCAAGTGTCTCAGCCCTGTTCTGCAAGGGCAGTTTGTAAGGCATAAGAAACATTTAGTCCTTTCAGCAGAGGCCTTTGTATCATGTATAAACTGGTAAGAGCCGTGTGATGCAGACATCCACATATGCAAGAACTGGACTGAAATGAATGAAGAACTAGAACATTAATTTTCAAATGCTCCAGGGGGCACTCAGATGTCAATATGAATTCCATTTCCAGTCTCCTGAGCTACCCACTCCATTTAATTTAATTAAGGCATTTATACAGAAAACAGAAAACTGTAAAATTTCTCATCAGACGTGACTGGCAGTTTAATCAAGACAAATCAATGAAATCTCCTGTTTGTCTTGTTACCTGTTCAAATTTCCAGCCATCAGACATAGTGGAGACCATTTGGGTGAGCTCCTCCTCCTGACACTGCAGCACCCTGTATACATGTTTGACCGGCACCTTAAGGAAGTAACATCAGACACTCAATACAGCATGAGGTATTCAACAATGTGTATCATCACTGGGAATTCTCATTCCTTAAAAAGGTATGCAGGAATAAAGACACACTGAACACCAGACGGTCAGTTGAGGCTCTAGCTAAGTCACCAGGTTTGATACTTTTGGCATCTAATGATGTGTTTGCAACACTCTTCTTCTCAGTTGTTCATTGGAACCAGATTTTAAGTGATATATTTTCTCTACTTTTTTTTTTCTTTTGCTTGTTCAAATTCTGTCCATTCATTACCCTTTCTGAATAACCTTGTATAAAAGATGTGAAACATTTCACAAACATTGCAGGTGCTAAAACTCCTGAAACTAGGGATGTAAAATCCCATTTAATCAGTTAACCAGTTAAACCCTGAACAAATGGAACAGCCCCTTCCTGTGAAGTGTGTGACTGGACTTATCATGGACAGAGGCTGATCTGGACTGCCAGAGCAGCTCCCTGCCTAAGGCAGGTGGGGAGCTGCTCCAGACCCCACTGGTTAACTGGAAACTGTAACCTTTCACCTTTCTGGTTTACCCTTCACATCCCTATCTGAAACTCCACAGATCAGCAGGCATCTTAGAATGATATCCCTTTGAAAGTAACACAGCTCTAATGAAATGGGGCTGTAATCCTAGGAAAATCCTAATACCAATTTTGGTTTGTGACAGTCACCCTTAACAAAATAACAACTGAACCAGACACACAGGCACTGATCAGCTATGTTTCAAGCTTTAATTTACTTCTGTCTCAATGACAGTCTAAGGCTATGTTTACACTGCATACCTTACAGTGGCCCAGCTGTAGCAGCACAGTTAGGACTCCTGTGTTGCTGCTCTTTGCCAGCAGGAGATAAATAAAATCGTGAGAAATAAAACCACCCCCAAAAAGCAGCAGTGGCATTATTGGTGGAACAGTATCTCTGACAAAGCATTGGGGGGGGGGGGGGGGGGGGGAGGGTTCACACCCTTGCATGGCAAAAGTTTTACCAACAAAAGTGAAGCTATGGCTCATCACAAAGTCTTGCTCCTTGAATGGAAAGCAGATTGTTTTATTAAATGGGAATACTCTGACCATTGTGCTTATCCAGTCCTACGCAGCATAAGAATTTAAAAACTGTAATTATCCTGTAGTTAGGGGGTCTCTTATCACCTCATATACTGAGGGAATCTGCAGTCACTGCTCTCGATGTTTCAATACTAACTATCCCTACGGAGTTTAAATACCATGACAAGCAGATTTCTCCCACACCAATATCCTGCCACACCGTTCAGTTATTCAAAATCTGAAAGCATTCTAATTAACAAGAATTTGCATGGATCAGATGTTGCTATTCTGGCCTCAGAGGCCACCTGGAACTGCAGGGCACTAGTGTTCAGTTTTATCCCCTTAGTCAGAAGGACTGAAGTCACAATGCAAACTGCCACAGCCCCAAATCTTCTTAGGAAAATATTGAGAGAAAGGGGCACCCAATCAACATCAGCAGGGGAGTTACAAATGACTGACTAACCAGCCCTACCTCGTATGTCACATTTAGGAAGGTACATTAGGAAAAGGTCCTACCTGTGAGATTCTGCTGTCTCTCTCTCTTATTTTGTCCTTCACCAATTTTATTAGTGATGTGATGTTGTAGAATTCAGCTTCTTCCAGAACACCTGACATGGGAAGAAACAATTATGCTTGAAAAGCGTAAACCAAGACTGCAGGTGAAGGACTTTCTGCCAGTTTCTGGGTGGCTCTTCTTCACTGCAATGGAAAGTATGCTCCTCATGAGCTCTGCGTGCACAAGATGTATGGGTCTGCCCTTCACTCCTATATAATTCATGGTTTAACTCATTCTGAAGAGCTGTACTTGAACTAGGGATGTGAATTGGTAACTGGCTAAGCAGTTTCCTGGGAGCAGCCCTCTTCCTGTGGGCTGCCGAGGTAGAGAACTGCTTCAGTCTTGGCAGCCAGTGCAGGGGTCCTGCAGCCCGGGGCCCACTCCATCTGGGCTGGAAAGGTCCCCCACCAAGAAATCCACTTAGTTAACTGGTTAAACTCTAGGTTAACCAAACATTTAATCCGTTAATTCAGGGGTAGGAAACTCAGGCCTGGTCCTCCCACCCCAGCACTGAGGAGCCTGCACTGGCGCTCCAGCATACCTGCTGCCCCACACAAAAACTACTAGACCGGGCTGTCCTAGGCTCTGGCGTGTGAGGGGAATGTAAGGAGTGTTTTTCTCAGTCAGGGGACACATCATTAAGGTGGGAGAGGTTTTTTGGTTTGGTTTTGGGTTTGTTTGGGTTTTTTTGCTTCTCACTTGTGTGTGGCCCCTGAGTGATTTTAATGTGCGTCAGCAGCCCCCAACCCAAAAAAGGTACCCTATACCTAGATTAACTGATCAATTGGGATTTTACATTCCTAACTTGAACCAACCCCAGAAAAAACTTTATTAGGCCATTTCAGGAAACTTGTTTTAGGCTCAAAATGCAAACAAATAATGAAGTGTTTTTAAAGGAACACCCACACACTTTTAGAAATCCCAGTTTAAAAAAAGTTTCTAATAGAGTGCTCCATAAACACAATAAATGTCATTTGAGAGCAGACCAAGGTTCATGTAAATGCAATCTGTGAACAGTCCCCAACTGCTTCAGGGAAAGGTAAACACATTTGGCAGAGGGCAGCTATGAAATAACCAGGCTACAGAGAAAACTTCTTTCTATCCCCCTTAAGTTAGAGATTGCCTTATGTTGCAAAGTTGCTCATAGTGACCTTTTTTCTAGGCTGCCAACACCACATGGCAGTTTCATGTACAGAATGCTGCCCATTCTCTCTTTCAGCATTCCCTGCTTTCTGCCTCATGTTGAGCAAGTGTTTTTCACAATATTTTCCCAAGTTTAAATTTCATTATTTCCTACTCATGTATCTAACCTCTCTGGTTGCCTTTGCATCCCCTCTCAGTCCAGTTTCGTGGACCCCAATTCACATCCATGCAATGGAGTACAACCTGGACTGTGGGACCGCTGAGCCTCTGTCCCACCAACTTGGGCTATTCTTCTCACACTGTAATGCTCTGTCAAACCACAAACATCTGACAGGCAGTGCATTTACACAGACAGCCACAGGCAGAGGGATACCTAAAACTTCAATGAGTGTTCCACTTTAGGTATCAGCATGCCCCTGGCCCTTCCAGTGGGAGATTTCCAATACCAGCGCCTCAGCTGGCTCCAGACACTGGACAGTTGGCTCATGTCACTTTGAGCGACTATCATTCTTCAGTCCCTCCTCTATGCCTTGGTCAGAACAGCAGGGCCCTCAGAAAAGTTTTCCTACTCCTGCTTTTCTCCACAATGTTACCTCTTTTTCATTATTTTGTCCTTTTTGATATTTTGAAGGATGCAATGTAGCAGTGGAAATGGGGGGAGCGTACATTAAAGTGGCAATCTTGCGCCAGTCCTGCACGGGATCAGTACGGATGGCATCTGGTATTGTTGGATGTTGCAAAAAGGACTGTTAAGGGAAAACCTCAGTAGTGGAATAGACTGATGAGAATCTTTGATCCATCTCCCATTCACGAGCTTGGGAGAAATTTATGCTGAGACTGTCAGCTATGACATTGGTTTTGCCCATTAAGTAGGATAATATGAAGTCAATATTGTAGGAAATGCCTCTGACGAGAGGGGGCAGGATGGAGCTCCATCCAGGCAATTGACTTAAGAAATAGTGTTGAGATTATCGGTAAGGACACGTAGGTCTTGCTGCAAATGAGGGGCAGAAAACAATGGCATGCCGTTTAGACTAGCTGAAGCTCCAACAGAGTTATGTGGAGTATGGATTTGAAGAGAGATCATTGGCCTTGGATAGTGTGTTTGGACAAGCGTGCCCCCCCATCACCCAAGAGTGACACCTGGGCTTATCGTTACCGACAGGGTAAGCAGCTGGAATGGGACACCCACACATGTTCAATGGCTTTGTCCACCAGGTGGCCATGGAGTGGATTAAAAAAGAGCTCCCCCTAACTGGTGTAGTCTGTATCTCAAAAGAGCCCGGCCCCTGCTTGTTTGTTCTTGCTTTATATCTTCAACACCTCACTTCACAGCTATCCCTAAGAATACCAGAAAGATCTTTCTTCAAGATCACCAGTTCTGCAGGAAAGAGGTAGGGCTGTCACTTTCAAATGGGACAAGGTACCAGATTATCGTGACTGAATGTGCACTTTCGTAATGTTTCCAGTTCATGGAGCAAGGCCAAGAATCAAACTCCAGTCTGTGGGCAACGCTAGCCAGCCTTAAACTACTACATTTTGTCTGAGGCAGAGTAGAATGCTGTAGAGATTTGTCTGCAGTGTAACTCAGATGAAAATAGAAATTGATTTAATAAGATTTTCCCTCTATAGGCAAGCCCCATTTCTCTTTTGTGATTTTCACAGCAATTACAATACTGAGAAAAAATAAAGTAAACAAGGGATTTGGTTTAAGTCCTACCTTCCTCTGCTAGGTCCTTGTTAATAACGAGTTTTCCATGTCTGAGATAGTTCAGCACTGGCCCAAAGTAGGTTGGGTCTCTGTCTATTAAATAGGCACCTGTTTCATCCTGTTAAAAAAAAGCAGCTGATTCAGTGAATTAGATGCCCAGACTGGAGGGGGAGGGGGAGGGGGAAACATTTTAGAAGAATTGTATGCCCCAGATTTAAATATTTAAGGTAGGTTACATTAGGGACTTGCCACTGTCTCGCTGGTTCCTCTTCCATTTAAGAGACAAAAAGTTAAAACTATTCATACTTACTGAAACATAAGAAACAATAAGTATAAAATACTCACACTTTTGGAAGTTAAAAAACAATGCTTGAAAGTCAGAATGTTACTCTGGTAGCTCAAAGAAACAGAACAAAGGTTAAAAATGGTATCAACTCCAACATGAACTCATTTCCTTTGTTCAAACTTAACCTACTAACGGTACTCCTGGAGGAATTCTGTGGGTTTTGCACATGCACAGAGTTCATTCCCCTGCAGATTCCTCCTACCACAGAAAATACATTTACAGGAGATGCTGCAATTATACCTTCTTCCCACCAGGGGCAGCTGTGGCACCAGAAGAGAGGGCATGTAGCTAACAGAGCAGGGCAGCCAGTCATGGAGAGCGATAAGGCAGAGGAGGTTCAGGATAAAGGGATGAACAAAGGACACAGAGTTGCTGGGTGTTTGTCACAGACTGGGGTTCAGAAGGGGTAGTGTGTGTGGGGGAAGGGGCAAACTGATGCTCTTAAATGCATAGTTAATTTTTCCGTAAAGCACTTAGCATACTTCGGACAATGCATAAATAATAGTAATTCTGAATCCATAACTATTAATGTATCAGTAGTTTTAAATATAGTGCAATAAACCTGGTTGAATTCAAATGGTCATCTGCTGTCTTGGAACCTGAGTGACACAAAATTATGTACAGGCCTAGAACCCAGAGTGACTGGTATTTCTCTCTCTACTTCCCCACACTACAGATGCGTGACTGATACATTTATTTGCAGCTGTTTTTCCTAGGGAAAGGCTGCAACCTGTGTAATAGCCATGTAGGCCATAAAGGTACCATTGGAAGCAACCCACACTGGTAAAAAGGTTGAGAACCACTGGGTTAGAGGAAGCAAGTAAGGGCAGGAAATGGAAAGAAGGAAAATATGAATATTTACAGCTCATTACCTGCTTAGCTATGATCACTAGGCTGATTTTGGTTGGCATCCCAGTGAGAGTCTTAATAACAGATAAGACGACAGACAAGGTACTGGTTGGACCTCCCTGATCCAGCCCCTTTGGGACATGACCAGTCTCAAATAAGGGATTTGCCAGACCAGGGAAGGTTATTTCTGG